ATGCAACACGCGCCATATATATATATATATATAAATACGCCATTTTCATGGAGGTGCAAATATCCTGAAAATGCAAATATAAACAGCTAACTAACGTAGCAAGGCAGAGCGCACTAGGTTTTTTTTCTGAATTAACGACCGAAGAAATCGCTGCATGTCTTCGGATTACATCTCTGGACTTGAGGGGTGTGCTCTAGGTCGTTACCAGCGTAAACTAGAGCTGTGTGGGTTGTCGGATTGCCCTTACAGACTGCGTCGAATTTGGCTGCATCTACGTCCAATTTCTGGAAACACCAGGTGAATACCCCACTTGTCACAATAATATTATCATGCCATTGCATATATGTGGTATTTTAGAGTTGACTAGATATTGATTAAGGCAATAGACTATGATATTCAGTACAGGAAGCTTAGCAACACCTAGACGGTGTACGGCTAAACCCTTGGCCTGCTTGCACCTCGCGTAAAACGGCGGATACCGGAAGTACGGTGTCGCCCTCGGCCCAATACCCGTATGTGTGTGTGAAATAATTGTTTTTCTTTATTAAACACGTAAACGGAAGAGCGTTTGAGAGGCCTTTTTGCTTTTTGCTTTTTACCTTACTAAATTGTCTAATGGTCATTGGAGCGAGGGGCGGGGCCAAACTCACGGAAGTGATTTCAAAACAAAAGCGGTGATAATATTATAAACAAAGGGAAACAAGGTGAATTTAGCGATCACAACGAAAACGGCCAAGACACATATTGAGCCCAGAAAATGGATGTTATAAGGGCTGTAAATATAATAAGCCTCTGTCTAAAATGGACAACATTGTTAGGAGATTTAAACTATACAGCGATTCTGCACTGTGGTCAACTCCAAATCAGCTGCTCTTCATTCCTGCTATATTTGACGAGTGATACAAATATGTTTTACCACAAGTTCTTAAGAAAACTGACACTGTTGGACTCGGTTCTAGTTTGACTTATACCAGAAATAAAATGAAGTACTTTTGCTGTGCACTTGTGTGAGTAATCCTCTGTCAAAGTCCCCTCCATAGTAGGCTACATAATGCATGTTTTTCTGCTATATTTGATGAATGATAAAAATATAATTTTACCATTAGTTCTCAATGAAATTGATACTGTTTGACTTTGTATTAGTTAGCCTACTACTTACAATACATTGAAGTACTTTTACTGTATATTGTTCGAGGAATACTCTGTCAAAGTCCCCTGCTGAGAACAAAATCAAGCCACTTCTGCTAAGTTTGATGAGGGAATTCTTTTTTGTCATTAGTTCTTCGTGAGATTGATCCTGTTGGACTCAGTACTAGTGAAACTACCCCCACAAGTACTATGAAGTACTTACTGTGTACTTTTCCAGTACTCCTCTGTCAATGTTCCCTCCTGAGAACAAGAATGCATGTTTCTCTGCTATTTTGAATAAACGTTAAAAAAAACTTTCTTCATGAGACTGATATTGTTGGACAGAGTATTTTAAGAGGATGGTAGACTTCACAATGACACACTCTGTCACTCTTGTTGGCCTCTTGAGTATTTTAAGAGGATGGAAGACTTGATATCAGCAATATTTCCAGTCAGTACTCCGGCAGCAGCATTTGTACCCCTTGGAAAGTCTATAGAGTCTGGCCTGGATAGCTGGTCTATCCTTCAGCACACTGACACACTCAGTCACTCTTGTTGGCCTCTTATGATGCTGCTGTCTTTTAAAATATGATTATTTCTCTGCTCCTAGTTCATTCCTCGCAGATTCTTCCATCAGTCCCAGTCATTGCATGTCAGTCAGTATAGAGCTTTGAAAAATGTGTCCAATTCAACAAAATGTTTTTTGTGAGTGAAGGCCAGAGCTAAATTATAGATTGTTTGATTGTGTAATTACAAGGTGAGAGAAAATAAATCCACATCCTCCTATGAAATGTATTTTATTTCCTTTTCCATGTTATACTTATACTTACTTGCATTATAACATTTGCATGTTGAACTACATGATAGCTTCCCCAGCCTCAAGGAAATACAATAAAATAAATGGATTCATAATTTTTTTTAAATGATAACAATTTATAAATTAATAATGTTGTGTGCAAACATTTCAAATTTAAATATAAAATGAAAAATAAGTTTACTTTTGAAATTATTTCTCACAAAAACCTTTCTAAATGATAGTAAACTATTACAAATATATATATGGTCAATATACGTTTTTCTGCCTAAAATAGTTGAAATTGAACGTAAACTGTATCAAACACCACATCCATGTCAATTAACCAATTTTTGCCCGCTATTTAAATTGACTTTGGTTAGTTAATACAAATATTGATATTAGGCTACATATATAATTGATGCAGTCTTTCTGAACACTTTTTTTTTTTAAATATTGCAAATGAATAATATTTAAAATGTTCTGCAGAGAGAGTGCGATAACTTACAGCAGTTGAAAAGATTTGTGAAAGGATAAATTCTTCATGGGCTTCAATGGCTTGTATAGATAGTGGTTTGATAGTTTCAGATAGTGGTTTGTTTAAATAACTACTGACATTTTAATAAATATTGCAAAAAAGGGCTCCAAAAAAGGCATATATAACCTGGCCGGCTTAACCAGTGTGTAATTATTCAAGCACCACAAGATTCAGAGTTTATAAAGTACAATTCTGGGCCATTGATTGTGTCATTTCTCCAAACACATACAGTAAAAATGCCTGTTTTGAAGCTTTAAAATGGTGCAGGAAAAGGACTTTACATTGTATTATACTTAAAGACAGGGCTATTCAGTTAAGAGAAGAGAAAAAGGAAAGCAAATTGTTATAATGGGTGATGTAACATTAATCAAATCAAGTTTTATTTATATAGCACATTTATAAACGATTTTTGGTCGAGCCAAAGTGCTGTACATATAATAAAAATAGCCTACAGTAAAGACACTTTACAGCTAATACAACAACACAGATTGTTCAGAATAGCAGTATGAGAAAAACGACACCCTCTATCCTTAGACCCTCACATCGTACAAGGAAAAACTTCCGGAGAAAACCCACAGTTTAAGGAGAACATGGGAGAAACCTCAGGGAGAGCAACAGAGGAGGGATCCCTCTCCCAGGACGGACAGACGTGCAATAGATGCCGTGTGTAACTCCAAGAGATAATACATTTACAACATAGACCAAATGTTTGGAAATGCATGTGTCTGTAATAAGAAGATGAATCTACGAAGATGTCAACTACAAATAGATTAATGACATACATAATATGAGGTCCTTGGCACTGTGTGATCATGGGGCATCACCCTTACAGCATCAGGACAATATCATATGGAGTCAGACACTGGAAGTGTGCTGGAGGCGTTGACTGGGACTGATGGAAGGATGAGACTGATGAGACTGAAGAATCTGTGATGAACTAGCGGCTGAGAAATAATCATTAAAAGACAGCAGCATCATCAAGAGGCCCACAAGAGTGACAGTGTGTCATTGTGAAGTCTACCATCCTCTTAAAATACTCTGTCCAACAATATCAGTCTCATGAAGAAAGTTTTTTTAACGCTTATTCAAAATAGCAGAGAAACATGCATTTTTGTTCTCAGGAGGGGACATTGACAGAGGATTGTTGGAAAAGTACACAGTAAGTACTTCATAGTACTTGTGGGGGTAGTTTCAGTAGTACTGAGTCCAACAGGATCAATCTCACGAATAACTAATGGAAACAAAAAATAATTCCCTCATCAAACTTAGCAGAAGTGGCTTGATTTTGTTCTCAGCAGGGGATTTTGACAGAGGATTTCTCAATAAATACACAGTAAAAGTACTTCAATGTATTGTAAGTAGTAGGCTAATACGAAGTCAAACAGTATCAATTTCATTAAGAACTAATGGTAAAATTATATTTGTATCACTCATCAAAGATAGCAGAAAAACATGCATTATGTACTATGGAGGGGACTTTGACAGAGGATTACTCACAAAGTACACAGCAAAAGTAGGCTACTTCATTTTATTTCTGGTAGAAGTCAAACTAGAACCGAGTCCAACAGTGTCCGTTTCCTTAAGAACTTGTGGTAAAACATATTTGTATCACTCGTCAAATATAGCAGGAACAATGAAGAGCAGCTGATTTGAAAAAAAAACTGCGAGAGACGGCGGAGTGACCGCAGTGCAGAATCGCTGTATAGTTTAAATCTCCTAACAATGTTGTCCATTTTAGACATAGGCTTATTATATGTAGGCCTACAGCCCTTAATAACATCCATTTTCTGGGCTCAATATGTGTCTTGGCCGTTTTCGTTGTGATCGCTAAATTCCCCGTGTTTATAATAATCACCGGTCCTTCAGCAGGATACTGTAGTGATTCAAAGTGTGATCTTAGCAAACGAGTGCTTTTGTTTTGAAATCACTTCCGTGAGTTTCGCCCCGCCCCTCGCTCCAATGACCATTTGACCATTTAGTAAGGTAAAAAGCAAAAAGCAAAAACGCCTCTCAGACGCTCTTCCGTTTACGTGTTTAATAAAGAAAAACAATTAGACGGTAGATACACGGATTACAGGAGTTTCATAACGAAATATAACCCTAATTCGTGATGAGAACGGTTGATTGAAAGTGTACCCAAAATCGTACTACTTTCTTTCATTATATTTTCTCACAACCTCACAACATGGCAACCATAACTTCTGTAAATCAAGCTCCCCAGCCAATCACAAAGCCCAAGACATCAGCCAGAAGGCGTGGCCTTCCAGATTTAGTTGCCATCTCTCGTTTTCAAGCACAGGGTGTCCCGAACAGGGTGGAGATAGTATATTTTCTTAGAAAACACAAGACGTAAGACACAATGAGCCAATATAATTATACCGTTCTGTGGCCATAAAGTTCCAACTATTTTAGTTATAATGTTTTTTTAAATGTCCCAAAGCGCTTCATTTCACAAAACACCCACGTAAACGCACAACGCAGTTGTACAAAACAAGCGCCTCAACGGGGGATCAGTAACTTGGCTTTGACCAATCAGCTACGGTGATTGATGCAATGACACACTCCCGCCAATTCCGACTTGGGAGCGCGAGGCAGGCAGTGGGGTAAACTAAGGGACTGTGTGGAAGATGCGGAAAGAGAATGCGTTATGTTTTATGTGAATAAATTAGAAATACATGTCGTTTAGATAGCAGTATAGTATTTGATTTGTTGTCGGTTGCATTCTCTGTTTTTTAGGCTACCTGTACCGTTGTTTTTTTACGGAGAATTCATAAACGAGTGGAACACCGGCTTAGTGGTTGGGATGTTGGCGGCGGAAACTCCATCTGTGGACGGACATCTGGCAGCATCGACTCCCCGAAGAAGAGGTACAACGTTATTGCTTTCTATGAATTAAGTTGTAGGCAGTTGAAACATCTTGCCGCAATGAACAATCTACATTTATAATACGGTCATAATGCAGTTCTGCAGGTTAGCGTCCACAAACAGAGGAAACACATAAATATGTGTTGCTTAAGGTTAGGTTTGTCGTTGGTTAACGTTTTCCTGCTGATAAAGGTTAACTAACGTTGAGTAACGATGGTGACAATGTTACAAGGCAGACGTTAACTGATATAAACATCTGCCAACTTGCCCAACATTAAAGCTAGCTATGTAAAGCTAGCTTGCTGCTCAGCATTACAGATGTTAACATCAATTCGTCAACATTAACATCAAAGTAATGACAACGTTGGTTAGGCCTCATACCAACATTGTTTCAATTCACCCTACTATTCGGACTCGAGCGTGTTTCTGAGTGACTGTTACCGTTTCTCTGCTAGGTCATAGAGGTGCCTAACTGTAGCCAGTTTTGTGAGGTTAGCAGACAAGCTAGTCTCATTAGCAATTTTGATTTGGTCAAACTCATATGAAAGCTGTTTTCAAAGGTGTCACTCCAGAGCGGCTACGTTCTTGCTTTCTTTCACATACCCAAAGTTATTGGGAATATACTTACGTTAATGTTACAATGCGAAGTTTTCAGCATTGTGGTCAGGCGTGCACCTTTGCCTGACAGCCCTATGAACGAGTGCCTGCTCTGCGGACCCGACTGGGCCTGCAGCACAGACTAATAATACACCGGTTGGCGGGAGAGCAAACCAAACACAACCACTAAATTCAATGCAACACTGTAACGTTTGGACGCCAACGTTGCAAAGGAATTCAATGCAACAATTTCTAAAAGTAATACTTTTAAGACGTGTGGTATTGGATTGACTATCACATCAATACATGGTGGTTCGATTGTGTAAACCCAAAGTGCATTAGCGTCACCGGCATCTTGTTAATACAGCAGTAAACTAATGTGACGTTGCTCTTCACAATTTAATTTGGCTGAGTGGGTCCTAGGTGTTTTTTTTTTTTTAAAGATTGTAATTCAAAAGAGTTTCATACTTAAACGTTGTATTTAAAGTTGAAATCATTCTTAGTCAACATTGTGTTTTTACATTCTGCAAAAATCCCATCAGTTCCACAATTGTCAAAATGAACACATCAAGGTTGATCATGTTGAAGTGAAGATGTGGTGCCAATTATTATTTTCTAATGTGCTATTTGTTTTCCTTTTTCAGGCATGGATTGTAAGTCGAGTAAAAATGCCAACAAAAAACTTATCCAAGGTAAATTCAACTTCATATTTAACACTATTTCAATGTTATTTAATTTAATAAGAAATATAATGATAGCTTTTGGTTGCATAGTTGTACTGTCAATGTATTGACTGTTAAATAACTTCTGCACATTTTTTCATCTGTATTATTCCCCAGTTTTGTATATATAAAATGTAGTCATACGATTTAAAAAAAAAAAAAAAATTATTCTGCCTGCAGCTCGTCTCCCATTCAAGCGCATGAACCCTGAACCTAAAGAGAACCAGCCACCTAAAAGCCCCTGTGCACATACCTGCCCCAAACCAGGAGACTCGGACAGGGAGAATGAGAATGAATCTTCTGCGCTCTCTCCACACTGTGGACCGCCCTTGGTTAACGGCCGCGGGCCCCTTGATGGCTTCCTGAGCCGAAGGCGCCCTGCGCCGGCGGATGAGAACATGATTATAGATCTGACCGCAGACAACGCCCTGTCTCCCATTAAGCACCTTGTTTCACCTGCTACCACCTCACCCCGCCTCCCAGCGAAAGACAAGCATCTGGGAAAAGATAAAACTACATTGTCTGAGAAATCCAGCACTCCTAAAACACACACTTTAGACTGCACATTTGTCGAGACAGATGAGGAAGAAGACGAAGAAGACGAAGAGATGGAGGAAGAAGAAGATGCTGATCTGACAGCTTCAGTTTTGCAGATTGATACAACGCAGGATTCTGAAAGTGAGACAGAGGAGCAGGAGGAGTCGGGAAACATGTCCATGCTGTCAGCTTCGTCCGCCAGCGGCACATCCGAAAGCTCACCAGAGAAGTCCAAGACTGATGACCCTACATCCACTTCTACACCCAGCACAGTATGTACATCTACCATTGCTGTATCTGCATACAAATAAATGACTTATCACCAGGTTCAGAATGGTAAAAAGAGCTTTGATGAAAGTTTTTTTAAATATGTTATCATAAAGACACAAAACAATTGCTTTATCAGTTAATGTTTTAGATTTTTGTTGCAGTTATAATAACAATAGAAACTGGCTTGGTTGAAAAAGTAAAACATCTGTTAATTCAGACAAATGCCTTCAGATTTATTATCGATTAATACACAAGAATATTTCTTAAATACCAACCGTATGAGAGTTCAAAGTATAGTACAATAATTGTCAGCATGGAAATTAATTATTGACAAGGCTGGTTGACATTGTGTCAAACACATTTTACAATCATTATAAGCGTTTTTTGTTTTTGTTTCTAACCTCATAGGAGCCAAAGACGAACCCCAAGATACCATCAGATCAGAAAAATATCAGAAGGCGCTCGTTGAAGGTGGGTCTTTCTCAGTATAGAGTGCCACAGTGACGCCTCCTAAAACCCGGAAGTAAGTTAGCATTTGACCACTTCCGGTTCCCTCGTCTCAGAGTCAATGCAATTTCTCCATAGGGTTTTGGAAAATAGCTGGAAATAAGGTCTGTGGTTGAGACACATTTAAGAGACGGATCAGGTTTTGTTCTACGACATTAAATACATCAGCAGTGACCCCGCTGGTGATTTTTGAAGAGTTGACGTGTCTGAAAAACGATGGTTGTTAACAAGTGGCTGAATAGGACTACAGAAGTTGTCGAGGCCGTTGTACGTCATTACGCCGAAGACGTAAAACACTCCCGCTAAGTTTGTTTGCCCTGTTCTGCTTGAAAGCAAGTACCTGCCTCCTGCAAACTGTTCAAACAAACACTTCAACTTGTACCATTTACGATCTGTATGTTTGAATATGGATCTTAAGTTGGCGTGACGTTGAAGCAGCGACCCTGCTGTAGTTCGTTTATAGCATAACGTTAGCATTTTGCTTCTTGCGACTAGATTTATGATTCGGAAATTATAAAAGTAGGATAGACATGTGGATATTATCCGGCTGAACAAAACGTGATCCGTCTCTTAAATGTGTGTCAACCACAGACCTTATTTCCAGCTATTTTCCAAAATCCTATGGAGAAATTGCATTGCGTTTTTGACGAAGGAACCGGAAGGAGCTTACTTACGGGTTTTAGGGTGCGTCACTGTATACGCTGCAAGTTGGGGTTTGAATATTGAATATTTGTTTATACACAACCTGATTTCTTAAACCTGTAGGAGAGAAAAACTGACTGAACTTTTGAATTTTAGAAAGTCCAAGAACAGGAGGAGAGGCATCTGCTGCGGCAGGAGAAGGACCGCCAAAGGGAAGAGGCTAAAACTGCAAAAGAGAAAAAGAAAGAAGAAGCTCGTCGTCTGAAGGAAGAGCGAGAAAAGGAAAAACGGGAGAGAAAAGAAAAAGATGAGCAAGAGAAACGAGAGAAAAAAGAGAAGGAGGAAAAAGAAAAAGCTGACAAGTTAAAAGCAAAAGAGGATCTACGGAAATCCAAGCAAGAGTGAGAGTTGCATTGTCCCTGTTACTCAAGTGTTATACATGTGGCATGATATCAGATACATGTGTTATAAATCAGGGTGTCCGCGGGGTCTTAAAAAGTATTAAAAGTTGATCAGATAAGATGGTACTTTATTGATCCCAATTTGGGAAATGTTTGTTACAGCAGCATAAGAAGACAAGGCAATGTACAATACCGTAACAATTCAAAGACTAGAAATAATCAAGAAAGTACAAAATATACATGTTGAATTTAACAAGGTATTATATATATATATATATATATATATATATACATAAATAAATATATGACGGAAGGAATATTGAACAGATTATATACTGATAAATCAATTTAGCGAAAATTAAGGCTATTAAACAGCATTTTCCAAGGTATTACATTTTGTAGCTTGTTTTCAATAAGTATATAAATTGTCCAAAGAGGTTGTATTCTACAGTGTGCCTGAATGTAATCATTGCGTAGGTGTGTAGTGTGATTCTGTGTAGTTTATTTATGGCATCCCGTTGGATTTGACATCTGAACAGGACATCGCACGCTAACTGCTTGATAGCGCGCCAAGGTCCGTTTACGCCGGTTGTTAAACAACATCGTTATGGGGAAATGCAAGTCTGCGTCCAAATGGTTGGAAGATAAGGAGGAAGGACAATCAATATTGTATATAGTCAATGTGAGGTGAAGTGTGTCGCCAAGGTAACCGGTTAAAACTCTAAGTGGCGATGAGGTCTTAAAATGTATGGAAAGGGTCTTAAAAAAGGTCTTGCATTTGACTTTAGGATTCCTGCATATACCCTGTAAATGCAATAACAAATATTTCTCTCATCTAAAAAGTGAACTTTGAATTTGGTTTAGGGCAAAGCTTGAAGAGAAAAGGAAGAAAGAAGAAGAGAAGCAAATGAAAGAAGAAGAGAAAAGGTTAAAAGAAGAGAAGGATGTAAGTAAATGTGGAAATGTGTTTGTTGATGCAAAAAGTAGAAGCTGCAACATCGTGTGTTCCAGATTTAAGATGGAGCTGTTTACTGAATCTTTTTGTTTACAGCGTGTCAAAGCGGGGAAAGCAGAAATCACACGTTTTCTGCAGAAATCCAAAATTCAACAAGCTCCAAAGGTTAGTAGATATAACAGAATGTATGTATTTGTTAATTTATTGCTTGATAAAACTCAAGTGCTCAGTGAAGCTGAATCAGCATTATCTTACCAGGTGTAATGTTTGAGTTGCAACACTGATCCTTTATATACCCCCGTTTAACTAAGATGGTACACCGCTTGAACAAACACAAGTAATCAAACTGCATCTCTGCCATTTTAGACACTTGCAGCTACGTGTGGGAAGTTTGCTCCATTTGAGATTAAAGAACACATGGCTCTGGCACCGCTTTGCCGGGTTCAGTGTGAGGAGTCTGTTTTGGAGGAACTGGACCGGTGTTTGTTGAAACCTGCTGATAACCTGAATGGACTGAAAGACTGGATCAGGGACGGGCCCCGCAGCTCAGGACCCACCAAACCTAGAAAGCCACTAAGGTGAGACTGGGAACAGAACAGTGGTTATCCATGTTTGTGCACAGTTTATCATCAGTTTGCCTCATGTCCAGCCACCTCTACATTTATTGCAGATACTTCTGTCATTCTTTGCTTTTGTGTTGACACATGATAGTTTTATAACCACTATAAAATACCAGTATGGGTTAAAGGTCACCTATCATGCTATTTCTAGGCAACAGATCACCCATTCTAGCCATGCCTCATATCCCTCTATTTCACTTCCTGTTTCAAAAGTGCTGATTTGGGGTATAAAGTATTAAAAAAAAAAATTGATTAAAAAAACGAGGGGTCTGAGCTCATGCGGGACCCGGCAGCTACCGTCTAAACTAAATACTGCCGTGATGAAACGCCATATCATGGATTATCAAGGATTATTTCTGAAACAGTTTGGAGCTCAAAGGCTTTCTCTCTTGGCGGCTATACCACAAGGTGAGTTCCTTTTTTATGTCCTGCTTCTTCACACACACGCTCTCCAGTACAGGTTAACTCTGAGTGTTAGCGATGCTAATGTAAACACCGACCATATTACGTCCAAAACAGTCGGGCATTGTTTCTGACAGGGCCGTGGGTGTAAAGCCAGCCTACATTTCCGATATTACGTCATATCGGACGCAAATCTGGATCAGCTCCGTTGTAGCCCCGTTATTAGAGATTTGGGTACGGAGGAAAAGAGAGGGTTTTATTTTCTGACGCTGTGTGAGTTCCCTGGCACACCGGGGACACATATTTATGTATAAAAGACATCAAAAAGGGCATTTTGCATGATAGGTCCCCTTTAACTGAAAATTACAAGCTTAAGTTGTTATGCATTTGTTCAGTTTCATATTTTTATTTTGTGCTTTAATGTTGGAAAAGCATTTTATTTTCTCACACAACCTGTGCTTTGGGATTATAACATTTGAAGACGATTCACATGTATGAAAACCTATATAAGACACTACAAAAAAGGAAAGGACATGGTAGTACAAAATAGTTCATGGTTGTTGGATAAATGTTACATTTGTGCTCCCTGGTTCATGCATTGCCTTCCTGAAGCTTTATGGTTAACAGTCTTCCCCTCATGTCTTCTGATTCCTCAGCGATTGTATACCAGTAGAAGAGACTAAACCAGATGGTGTGCCAGATCGTGACCGTTATGGACCCATGAAGCTGCTGCAGTTCCATGCAAACCACCGTCCAGCGTACTGGGGCACCTGGAGTAAAAAGAGTGAAAACATCTCGCCTCGCTGCCCCCTTAGACAAGACCAGGTACAATTATTTGGCAAAATCTGTTCGGTTTTTGTTAACACCACAAGTAAGAGATCCCATGTGTAATAAACATAACTTACCTTTTTAGGGTAGATCAATGACATTACATCTGAATACAATTAAAATCATAATACTTTATTATTTCTGGGGGATATTGGGTAAATGTAAGGAAAAGGACTGTATCAACTGAAAACCACAATACATACCCATTCTTTTCCATGATTTCCCCCCCCCAAAATGTCGACTACAATTAGAATTGCTTTGATGATGATCGGTGTGTTCTGTCTGCAGGGTTTGTTGGACTATGAAGTGGACAGCGATGACGAATGGGAGGAAGAGGAACCGGGAGAATCCCTGTCACATAGTGAAGGGGTGAGTTTCATTACAGGGTAAAACCCTTTTTATTTAAACATTTATTAGGGGTCCTTTTTATTACCTTCAATAAAAACATATATCCAATAGGGCTGTACCTGAAGAACCGAATATTCGTTCCTTGGAGTACAATTCGGGTTTCAATTTCGTTTTTTCCCCGTTTTCTTTCCGAATTGATTGAAATCTCCAATATCAACGTAAGAGCTTGTGCCTCCTCGGGGGGTGCTAACACTTAACCATAAACGTTATTGTTTACTTTCTCCGTCTTTATATGTAGATATTACTTTTCTCCGTTAATCTCCTTCAGGTTGTTTCCATAGCAACAACAACTTCCTGTCAACAGCGCTACCTCTCCTTCAAAATAAATAGGAAGCCAAGCCAAATTACACTTAAGACATATACAACTGCAACGAAAGTAACAAACGCAATGCGATATCCTTTTCAATTTCAAAGAACACAAATTGGGTTACATTAACAAATAACTATAAAACAACAATACTGTAGAATAACAAAATGAATGCCGTGAATACACCGAAATACACGTGTTGAAGCAGTTCGCTGCTGATTACTATGAGCCCCCCACGCGGGCCGAATATTCGCTGCTGATTACTACCGAATATCCGGAGCCCGAAAAATGGTATTCGGGACAGCCCTAATATCCAACAGTATCTTTTAAGTACTTTTTAGGGTTAATTATTGCTTACCTTGGTTAAGGCAAGACACTACAGGTGAATAGGGTAATTTTTTTAACTTCAAGCTATCCGCTAGAAATGTATCCAGTTAAATACTCACATTTAAGACAATAGTTTTTTGTATTACAAGGTTTCTGAAATAGCATGTTTAAATATGCAAATGAGCCATTATCTAATTAAATATGCAAATATTTTAACACATTTCAGGAACACAATTCTGAACATTGGATAAAGCCAGGTTCCATCTTGAGATTTTAATTTCCAGCGGAAAGCTAACCAGGAAGTGTTTTAGCACACCACGTGACGCATCTGAACGAATCACATTGTCAGAAATTGACACCAGCCAATGAGATTTCGTTTCTTGGTTTAAGACCCCTTTGTGCTTTCACGATTGGTTGCTGATACAAAGGAAAGGACCATATTTGGATCCGATGAGATTGTGCAGGAGAGACGGAGCTTTCGAACGATACCTCTGATTACATGGTGCAAACAGCGGTCGTGGTACTTTGTTACGTTAGAATGCTAACTTTTGGTGAAATCTACAGACGCAAACTATAGTAAAATAAACACCTAAATGTATATTTTGTACGTTTTCCTTCCGAAAGCCTGAAAGAAAACATGTTATGTAATCAAAATTGACCAGTGCATGAAAAACGATGTTTTCGCCTGCCGTGTCTCGCCTCAAAACGAATAACATCAAGTAAATACATGAAATTAATTGTGAATAATCAAATCATATGTTTAAGGATTGTTGGAATGCTTATTTAAATGAACTGGCAAAGAACGACATCTTTATAATCTGAACTTGTGCAACAAAGCGCACAGTCAAGATATTCACTGTTCGACTTCACGGCAGGGAACATGTGGCCAAGAAGAAGATGATCATTCTCAAAGCGTTTATCCTGTATTTAAATGGTTAATTTGACCGTTTTAAAAAGTTTGAATTGTTGATATTTTTCAGGAAGAGGAAGGAGGTGAAGGAGGTGAAGGAGGTGACGATGATAGCGATGATGACGGCTTCTTTGTTCCTCATGGGTACCTTTCGGAGGATGAGTGTGCTCTAGAGGAAGAGGTATGAAGAGAGCTGCTATGTTGTTTGTTTTTCATACATCTAATTATTTTTTACTTAATCTGACATGTGAGCATTCATTTGATTTAGCTGTTTTAGTTTCTGCTTCCTATTTGCACCATTATTAATAGGGATGCTCCGATCGATCGGCTGTGAGTCGGTGCTCTAAAAGTGCCGACCGCATGACGTAAAAGGATGACGTAAAATACATTACACTTTTCTCTGTGCGGCAAAACAAGCTCGCCAAAATGGCTTCACCAGTCTGGCAGTATTTTAAAGTGTCCGAAAATGACAATAAAATAGCGGTATGTAACGTGTGTGAAGCAGAAATCCTGCAGCTCCACCCGCTGAGACGGACCGGTGAGCGGAGCAAAACACACACTAAGAGTTAGACCTAACACACTTAGCTATTTGATCTACCTCTGGAACAAGCTAAACTAGTTATAAATATATTTATTCTTCACTGTCGGGTCACTCATTACTGGATCAGCGAGCTGCATGAGATACTGACGGGCTGTCAGGAGAGAGAGAGGAAAAGAGAGCGCTTCCGCTCATTTCTCTCGTGTATTTATCCAAAGTTAATGTAAACTTGAATAATGTACTTCATTTTAATGTAATAATGATGTTGGTTGTTGTTTGTGGAAGCACCAATGAATGAGCCCCATTAACTGAGTTTTAAACATCACTTTAAATGGAAGATCCCCATAGGCCCCGCCCACTCGATCGGATCAGCGATCGGTATCGGCCGATACTGATTCCGGTATCGGCCCCAAAATTGGCGATCGGAGCATCCCTAATTGTTAAAATGCATTGAACCTTGTAGGAGGGTGGCGACTTGGAGAAGCAGAAAATACGTCAGAAAGTGAAAGCAAAGGAGTGGGACGAGCTGATGTCCACCAAGAAGAAGATGAAGGTGCTGGACCCCGTGGTGAGGGGCTGCCTCTGGGAGGGAGCAGGACCTGGACTGCAGCTCTTCAAGCCTTATGCTCTTTGTCTGGTGGAGCCTTTACCAAAGGTAGACACCAGCCCCGGCCAAGAGGAGCTTTCACTCAGGAAGAGCCAGAGAGAAGAACAATGTAAGTGTGTATGACCACATTCTCTTTGCCTTTGTGGGGAACAGCTGTTCTTTATGTGACGTTGATCGGTGCACATCCTGCATCTCTGACACATCACACACACACCATTTGAAGTGGCACAATCCGCACAGGTGACATCAATAACCGTTATGATGGCTTTATTTTGGCGAGCAATAGAGTGCCATAGTGACGCGCCCTAAAACTCGGAAGTAAACTCCTTCCGGTTCCTTCGTCAAAAACGCAATGCAATTTCTCCATAGGATTTTGGAAAATAGCTGGAAATAAGGTCTGTGGTTGACACACATTTAAGAGACGGATCGTGTTTTTTTCAGCCGGATAATATCCACATGTCTATCCTACTTTTATAATTTTCGAATCATAAATCTAGTCGCAAGAAGCAAAATGCTAACGTTATGCTATAAAGGAACTACAGCAGGGTCGCTGCTTCAACATCACGCCAACTTAAGATCCATATTCAAAATTGTACAAGTTGAAGTGTTTGTTTGAACAGTTTGAGGAGGCAGGTACTTGCTTTCAAGCAGAACGCGGGGAAAAAACAAACTTAGCGGGAGTGTTTACGTATTCGGCGTAATGACGTACAACGGCCTCGACAACTTCTGTAGTCCTATTCAGCCACTTGTTAACAACCATCGTTTTTCAGACACGTAAACTCTTCAAAAATCACCAGTGGGATCACTGCTGATGTATTTAATGTCGTAGAACAAAACGTGATATGTCTCTTACCTTATTTCCAGCTATTTTCTCAAATGCTATGGAGAAATTGCATTGCTTTTTGCCGAAGGAACTGGAAGTGGTAAAATGCTAACTTACTTCCGGGTTTTAGGACGCGGCACTCTATTTCCAGGGCTCTATTATTGTTCACTTCATGGAATAGAGCCTTTATTTATGATATCATTAAAACCATATATTTTCAGCCTTGAGATGCCAAAATGGCTTCTGTGAAAAGGGTCTATGGAAGCTCACATAGTATAAAAAAACTATTTGGCACAGCCCTAGTATTTTGAGTATGTTTGGCTATATCTTAATTAGGGGTCGATATTCCGCATTTGACCGATTATCGGTATCGGCCTTTTTATCAAATTGCCGATAAAACTTTGGCTCTGATGCGGCCGTTTCTCTGGCTGCAGTCACCACTCTGTGTACACGAGCAATGTCCCGCCCACAGCGCTATCTGATAGGCTATTACTGAAGATTTTTCGGGCGGGAGCCAGCCAGAGAGGCGGGACCTTCTCAGATTACAGGCAGGTGCGAAAGAACGCCGACACAGACTGAAGCAAGCAGCAGCGCTGAGCGGCAGAGCCATACATGTGTTAAACCGAAGTTCAATAAACATCCCTATCCCCTATGCTGAAGTTGCAAAAACACCACGATCTTATGATCCAATTCTATCAGTTTCCCAGTTACACAGGGACGCGGGAAGTCAGTCAGAGTTGGGGGTGCGTGCAGCGTCTCGCAGCGGAGTAACTGTGGTGGGGGGGGCTGCGAGTGGAGCCTCGCTATTTTTCAGGTTGATATGTGAAGCTCATTAGCTAGCCAACATGTATCTAGCAAATGTTTAGCAAAATATTAGAAGTGAGGCTACTAGACTAACGTTAGGTCGACTGTAAGAGCCTCACTTTTAATAGTTTGCAAAACATTAGCTAGCACTAGTGTTTTGCAGTTGCTAGCAGCTTATTGGGATTTGATGCTAGATAGACAAATATAATAAATGAAGCATTATGTTAGTTAAGCATGTCAGCCTGCAGCCCCACTTCTTGTCTCTCTCTCTAACTCATTGCAGATGGCTGCACTAAAGAAAAGGGCACAGAGAGGAAACCAGTTGTAAGATGTTTAAAAGTTAATTAAACATAATATATGCTTAAATGCATTTCAAAGAAGTTGTGTTGAGTTGTGTTGGAGTTTGTGTTATTCTACATTTTGACACCAAGATTTTCTGATTTTACTGCAAATGTATATCGGTTCCAAATATCGGTTATCGGTCTCCTTGATTACTAATAATCGGTATCGGTATCGGCCTTGAAAAAACCATATCGGTCGATCCCTAATCTTAATGTATAGTTTGCTTGTCTTAATATGGGCATGTGGGCTCAAATGACATGGCACCTTACTGTAATTCCCTTAGAAAAACTGTATTATTGTGCCCATAAATTAAACAATGTGTATTGCCATATTGTTTAATGCTAGACTTGTGTTTGATACAGTAGTTACCATCAGATACAAGCATTGTAGTCGAAACTTACCTTTTCATTTCACACTTGAACTATCAGTTAGGGCTGCAGAATATTGGAAAAAAACTGACATTGCGATTTTTTCCCTGCGATATGAAAACATACAGAAAATGAAGAAAATACCGTTTGTTTTTTTCGCAAACCATCCTTTCTTGAACTTTAATGCTATACAATTTGTATTTTTTTAACTATATTTAACCGGATGAAGGATTTTAGTCACGGACGTCTGGATCTTAAGTTATCAGAGCAACAAGCTGAGCTAGCTCGGTTAGCAGCGCCGAACTGCCCTGGAGAAACACATGAAACTACTTTATTCAGTGTTTTTACCTTTAATCACGGGGTCAGTTTGCTTTGGAGATTTGATTGTGATTGGTGGTTTGCTGTGCATGCAGAGCCTGCATGTCAAGTTTTCCTTTTGAAGCAAGCAGCAAAATAATTGTAACGTGATTGTAATCGTGTTTGAGTTAATTTGCCTACTTAATATCGCAAGTCCTACTTTGTTTTTTAAATCACACGTCCACGCGATGTGAATATCGCGCATGCGCATATCGCGATTATCGTCACGACACGATATATCGTGCAGCCCTACTATCAGTACATAATTAGAATTATAACGAGCCTTAATGGCCAGTTTATTTACATCAGCTGGTTAAACCTTGGCCATCACATTTTGGTTGAAATTGTGAACCTGTATAAATATGTATGTTTCTTCTGAAGCAATCAAAATGTGTTCCTGTAGAATGTTGTATACCTTTACAGGTTTTAACAGTACATATCTTTCTGAGCTAATGACACATTCTAAAGATCTCTAATGCTCTCTTCTCCCGCAGTACTCAGTCGGCTGCTGCCTCTGCTGCACGGCAACACCAACAGCAGCAAGGTGATCATCAGTGAGTTCCAGGAGTTTTGTCGTCAGCCGACTACCTCCTCATCGCCCCCCGAACTGTCCAGCCCTCAGAGTCAGGCAGAAAACATCCCCACCAGGTAAAACAACCATATTACGTGATAACGCGGGGTTACTGCGGAGCGCATGAAGCAGACCCTTCACGCGATAGCGGAGGGAACGGGTAAAGGAGGGGTCGTTGTCCACTAGTTAATCGATCGCGTCGTGCTCGCGGACGGATATATGTATATGTAAACCTAAATGGGTCTCGAAATATACTTTGGCGGACGTTAATATACCTGTAAAGTCTATGTCTGGGAAACCCTGGCACATATATGTTTATTTACATTATATTAATTCTAGTGTCAAAGATGTAAAGAATCTTCTTTCTGAAGCTTAAGGTAGCACGCTGTCCACTTGCAACCTTTGGTATACTATTTTCATTATAATTCTGAATTCTTCTGAACATTTCCAATGGGTACCAAACAGCATGTACATCACCAAGTTTGTGAAGAGGTGTACTGATTAGGGATCGACCGATATGGCTTTTTCAAGGCCGATACCGATACCGATTATTAGTAATCAAGGAGACCGATAACCGATATCTGGAACCGATATACATTTGCAGTAAAATCAGAAAATCTTGGTGTCAAAATGTAGAATAACACAAACTCCAACACAACTCAACACAACTTCTTTGAAATGCATTTAAGCATACATTATGTTTAATGAACTTTTAAACATCTTACAACTGGTTTCCTCTCTGTGCCCTTTTCTTTAGTGCAGCCATCTGCAATGAGTTAGAGAGAGAGACAAGAAGTGGGGCTGCAGGCTGACATGCTTAACTAACATAATGCTTAATTTATTATATTAAAACAATGCCGGTCTATCTAGCATAACATCCCAATAAGCTGCTAGCAACTGCAAAACACTAGTGCTAGCTAATGTTTTGCAAAATATTAAAAGTGAGGCTCTTACAGTAGACCTAACGTTAGTCTAGTAGCCTCACTTCTAATATGTTGCTAAACATTTGCTAGATACATGTTGGCTAGCTAATGAGCTTCACATATCAACCTGAAAAACGGCGAGGCTCCACTCGCAGCCCCTCCCCTAGGCACCACAGTACTCCGCTGCGAGACGCTGCACGCACCCCCAACTCTGACTGACTTCCCGCGTCCCTGTGTAACTGGGAAACTGATAGAATTGGATCATAAGATCGTGGTGTGTTTGCAACTTCAGCATAGGGGATAGGGATGTTTATTGAACTTCAGCTTTCAACTGATTTACCTTCGAAACACATGTATGGCTCTGCCGCTCAGCGCTGCTGCTTGCCTCAGTCTGTGTCTGCGTCCTTTCGCACCTGCCTGTAATCTGAGAAGGTCCCGCCTCTCTGGCTGGCTCCCGCCAGGAAAATCTTCAGTGTTGATTGACACTTCAGTAATAGCCTATCAGATAGCGCTATGGGCGGGACATTGCTCGTGTACAGAGAGTGGTGACTGGAGCCAGAGAAACGGCCGCATCAGCCAAAGTTTTATCGGCAATTTGTTTTGTTTTTTAAAAAGGCCGATACCGCTAGTAAATTGTCAACGGGGGGGTTACTTATCCGACCAGCCCACCTCGATACCGCTAGTAAATACCGCTAGTAAATTGTCAACGGGGGGGGTCTAGGGCTAGTGACTTATCCGACCGGCCCACCTCGTCCGACTGGCCCACTTCAGTACCGGCCCATCAGGATTCGTCCTGAACGTCCCGATGGCCAGTCCGCCACTGCTCTATTTACAATATTAACTGTAAAGGAGAACTAAACGTAATCTACAAAATGGTGCGGTTTACATTTTAATAGCTAATACTATTTTTCTTTTAAAAGACAGTAAAGTATTTGGCTATTCATTTAAAAAGCTACAACAAACACTGCATCTCATTTGAAAATACATCTTTCACCTTTATATCAAATGAGTTTTCTTTCCCTCTTTCATCAGAATACAGGTGAAGCGCCTGATGAAGAGCAACGCTGCTTATGAGAAGCGCTCCACCTACAGACGCTGCTGGTACGTCCAGGCGGAGGTTCTGACCCGCTTCGGTCAGGATGCTCTTCCTGTGCCCTGCCAATGGACCTACCTCACCACAGGGGCTCGAGAAGAGTCCCGTGAAGAACCACAGGCTGCCACCGGCTCTCAGGGAAACTCCCCCACAACCCCACAGAACTCCTCGTCCACATCATCATCCTCCAACAAAAGGAAAAGCACAGGCAGCATGTCAATCACCAAGTTCATGAAGAAATGTGCTGACCCAGAGCAGGTAGAGAAAAGCTCTCACATAGATGTTTAACTGCAGCATTTCATTGAATCCTCTTTAAGATCATCAACTCAAATACATGCTTATCCCACCCTGAGGGTATCCTACCAGTGTCTCAAGTGTTCTTGTATCATTGGGATTTCAGGCAATAGAGGCAGATGGTTTTCAAGCCGACACTGAGGAAGATGACGAAGAAGATTGTGTCATCGTGTCCACAAAGACTGGTGAGTTACACAGAACCAATATTAAACTGTTATTGGGAACTGTAGTTGTTTACTATAAGGTTCAGATTTAATTTAAAGTGCACCTATCATGCTATTTTTAGGCAATAGCATAGGTCTCAGATATATAAAAAACATGTCTATGAAGTGTTTAGCTCAAAATACCAAACAGATCTCCCATTCGAGCCATGCCTCATATCCCTCTATTTCACTTCCTGTTTCAAAAGTGCTGATTTTGGGTATAAAGGTTTAAAAAATAAAATAAAAAATTGATTAATAAAAAAGGAGGGGGCTGAGTTCATGCGGGACCCGGCAGCTACTGTCTAAACTAAATACTGCGGTGATGAAACGCCATATCATGGATTATCAAGGATTATTTCTGAAACAGTATGGAGCTCAAAGGCTTTCTCTGTTGCCGGTTTCCACAAGGTGAGTTCCTTTTTATTTCCTGCTTCTTCTCACACATGTGAGGTTCACTGCGTATTTTAGGCACCTTCTTCATTTATTTACAAATGCCTGCAAACTTTTGATTAGATTTGCAACATTTAGTCGATGGAATAAAAAAATACTTGTCAACTCAGTTTGTATCATAAATAGACCCCTGCAAAGTTTCGTTTTTGCATCTTGCAGTGTTGCGACTCTATCACGTCGACAAAATCTTTCCTGACTCAAATATAAACACTTCTTCTGTGGTTCTCACTACAGTTGGTGAATAGTTACAAAGTGAAGAACAATACAGCATTGCTGTCACCACTCGCAATTAATGTTAGTTTCATTCTTCAGCTTTAAATGGATGCGTACATGTTATTTATTATAGAAAGGAAATCTCATTATATTTATCTCTCTGTAGCCCTGACCAGAAAGTCCTCCAATGAGGGAGACTGTGTGATGGAGGTCACTCCCTCCGACACAGCGGCCCTCCCGGTGTCCAGCGCGGCTCCAACCCTCTCCACGGCCTGAGGACAGGAGGCGGCTCCGTCAACAACGCTCCCTCCCTGATTAATGTCTCCTTCCTGGTTCTGAACGCTTCTGTGTCCAAGACAGAATCAAGTCTTCAAGCAACATGAAGCAGCACACTTTGGTGCAGGCAACCCGCTCAGGTGGCTTCTGCTCAATATTATGAGTTCCTTTCACCTTGTTGTTTTCTGTGCGTCGGGAGTGGTCTCGCCTGTAAGATGTAGTGTGCATAACATCAGAAGTTTCTGACTTGATTATTGAGGTTTGTCCAATGTTCATTAAGTGTGTCTGATTGATTTTTGCATGGAAGTGTCAGTCCTGCATGTTTGGCTTCGGCCTCTTTGGAGACTCTTCGGCTCGCGTTAGCAACAACAGGTTGTTGAGCAGAGGAAGGAAGAGCAGAACAGAAATGCCCAATGTTCATGAGGAAGAATCCAAGAAATCAAAAACAACATTCTTTACGGTTCCTGAAATATTGAATTAACGTTATCTGATATCTTCTAGTCTAAATGTGTACATATATATATAGTTTACCAGAAATAAGGATTGGGAAATGAGAGGCTGAAGTTCAATCTGTACATTTCCCTTACATTTCAATTGGTGCATTTATTCTGCAATTTCTAACTCTGACAACTCTCTGGAGTAGTTGCTAGATCTGTACTGTTAGGTCCAGTGTCACAATGTTTTATAAATATGTATTTTCTGTGTTTTTTTCCAAGAATACTTGAACAGGATAAGTTCATTAAACATGAATAAAAGTACTGCACTTTTATATTCCATTAATTCAATGCCACTTCTTGATGCGATCAGTAACCATTCACTAACTCAGTTAGCGTTTCTGTTCAGGGTCATGATTTGGATGAGCCCTTGTTTTAAAAGCTGACTGATGTCCATGGAGGAATGAATACGTTCAATCTTTTTACAAACCTCTGTCCTGATTATTACTTAATATTGATTCAGTTTCATGTTAACCTTTTTAAGTGCAAGTTTAAAGAAAACAAATTGAATTTATTTCTGTATAATCAATACTAGGGTATTTTTTTCTTTTGGTCTACATTTTAGGGGGAAAACTCAACTGTTTCAAAATGAATGCCAAATGCATTGGCTTTTATATCATAACAACTACTTGTGCAGCAGTGTGTAAAACTGCTCAACAACAAGCCTTTGGAAACAACACATTTCACAAGTCACTATTCGGTAGAGGCATCTTTGTCAGTGAAGTTGAATTTGCAAACACTGCTCTGCCCAGTGTTTGCAAATTGTCATCAAGTTCTAATTAATGTAAATGTGTTCTTCTCTTGAAAGAAAGGCTCAATTGGACCAACAATATGAACTGTTAGCTGTAATTCTAATGTATTGCTGGATTTCTGTTAAGTCCCAGTTCCTCTGCAGACCACAGGAGGTGAGGCAAAACCAGCTTTCACAGATGAGGCTGCCACCACTTGGCCTTCATGGGGGAAATGGTGTGTACTTGCTGCTGTGTGGAGTAATAACAAACAGTAAAGCTCTAGTTTAGTCTCAGACATTACAGTAGAAGCTCGACCCTGAATGTCATGGTGTAAGCTGTGATCATTTTCAGAGGAATACTAAACGTTTCCATCCAAAGAGCTTTCCAGGAAACAGCATATGGTTCTTGTATGTGTTTTAAAGTAGCTCCCGTTTAGGAACATGAAGTTAAACAGACTCGCCTCAGAACTGTTTATTAAACAAGTTATGATGCAATGCAAGCGATCTCTTTAACAGGCAGGTTGAAAAGCAACAGATTACAACTCAGACGGTCTGCACACATCACTACTACTCACTCGGGATCAATTAAGGTTACAATGCACAAAACATTTAGACGCCTCCATTAAATAAAAGACAGCAGACATGTTGCTGATGTCCATCTTAGTCCTCAAACGCTGGGTTGTGTAGTCAAATTGTACACATAACAAAGCAGCTGAAACAGGTTTTAGTTGCTCAATTAATAATATTACAGGTTTTATGAGGTGACAATTATTTATTCTGTAAAACAAAAACAATCCAGGCCTTTCTTCCACTTTAGTGTACAACCCCCTTTGGATGTATCAGACAGAGATAAGCAGTGAGAGGTAGGTCGTTGTCATCTTAACCAATCACAAGCAATTATAACTAGCTTTTACATATCTGGTGTGCATACATCAACGGCAAAACCACTACCAAAATAAATGTATAAATCACCCTAATGATGTGTGATGAGGGTGAATTGAAAACAAATGTAATTCTCATCTCATTCAGTGAGATGGTAGATGTACTACCACCCTGTTTGAAATACCTTTTTTATACCAAGGAAATGTGTTTGATACAAACAAATACATGACTCAAGACAACACAAGTCCATGCGGCCAGTTTTGACAACAAATGTAATTTACGCCAGCCAAGCAAGTAAGCTACATGAAACCTCTGCAATCACCACGGTTTTTACTACAGTATGCATAAAGCAATATCTTCAAGCTTTATTTTTTACATTTAGGGCACTCTAGTGTTTTATAAAGTGTAAGGTTTTTCCTAAAAAGTGCTTCAAACTGCTAAAAATACAAGAAATGATATTGGTATTAGAATCAACTTCACATTGTCATCTTAACCGTACAGTAACAGTGTCTGTTCGTTCTGTCAGCAGGATTACAGAAAAACTACAGGCCCGATTTAAAAGAAACTTGGTGGAAGGGTGAAGCACGGGCTAAGGAAGAACACATTACATTTTGGAGTGGATCCAAATCAAGAGGCGGATAAAACAAATTATTTGGCGGAGGTGCCATTCTAGTCTGTAAAAAGACGTCTCCGTTTTGGACTTCAATTTTAAATCAAATTATCAAGAAAGACATGTTCGATTAGGGTCCAGGTTTATGCTCATATGAATAAAAATAAATAACATTTGGAGTTTTAGTTACTACCGTAGAAGTATGTTGTACAACGAGAGTGTGAGGCCACTGCAGAGGACGAACAGACAAGCTAGACTTGCATCAGACCGGACCGTCAGACAGACAGAACACTGTTTAAAATGAAGCACCGCCAAACAAAACTAATAGCATTCAAGTCAAGTCCAGTGCACAGACACCAAACGGCTTTTAAATGGCAAAAGCTCTGTACTGAGATACAAAATACTTTTTTCTCTTGATCAATCAGTGTTAATACAACAGTTTAACTTCAAAGCAAGGGGAGAAAATGTCGCCACAGTTAAAACAAGGTCTGTCAACATGCCACACGAAGAACACCTGACTGACAGGTAGGTGATGTTAGACCTTCCTCTGTTTCCTACACAGCCTGTACATTCACGATGCAACAAAACCAATCCTTTCATCTGTTAGTAACCGCCTCCTTCAGTACAACATGTAGCTGAGAGGGGACCCTATCCCCACATGGAGGGATAATGCTCAGCAAAACAAGCGCATTTAGGGGAAGTTTCCCCTATGTTATCACTGCTACCGACTTTAAAGTTAGCATTTGTAAAAATAAACGTATCACTAGTCGTTTGTAAATGGGCAATTCCACCCCAGGAGGGCCACAGGGGGGAGGCAGCAGGGAGAGATCGGGGGAGGGTCTCAGCTCAGGGTCCGGATGGTTTCCAGCAGGGAGGGTTTGAGTAGAGCGGGGCTCTTCCCACCCGCAGCTGCAATATCCGCCTGAACGGCCGCATCCCAGGCAAACGTGAGCAGAGCTGCAGGGACCTGAAACATGCAGACACACACAGTCTGATTTGATCTGCAGGAGTGTTCAAATACTGGCTTGTGTGAAGAGGACACCATGGTTTGTATTAGGACTATAATTCAAATGTATATTCATTCATTTGAATTACATTTTGTGCTTGTTTCAATACTATAGTGCAGTGGTTCCCAACCAGTGGGCTGCGGCCCCCTTGTCATTGCAAGTGGGCTGTCAAATAATTTGCAAAACATGATTTGTGTGGAAACATTTTCATTATTAAGATTTTTGTTTTAGTTGAAAAAGGTTGGGAACCGCTGCTAGAGTATAGACAATGACATAAGGCTTGGCATGAGTTATTAGGTCGAGGTAGATTAGAATGGAACATTTTTATTTTTTACTTGATCTGTTGCACCAACCTAATTTGCTCCTTCCAAAGACATTTAAAAAAAGAACTGGTCTGAAATTCACTTTCATAAAATAATAAAAATGAATGAATAAACATTTGGTTCTCAGGTGTAGCATTGCATCATGACAATGAATGAAGGAAAATGTTATTCAATGCAATAAAGTAAGTTGTCTATTATTATTTGTATCGTTTTGGACAACACTGGAGATCCGTGCCACAGAGAAACATGTGATATCAATAGTTGATCAACTCAATTCATCATTAGGGTTGTTTACTGTAAAAAAATAAAGCATTTCAATGTCACAGGCTTATCTTTAAATCTAGGGACATTTCATGTTAGGCAGTTCAATGAGAAGACTCTGGTTTCCACTCACCAGGTTACACTCTGCGAGAGCCACCTCTTCAGACTCCTGTAGTTTCTGACCTCCAGGAGCGATGAGCTCAAAGGGCTGCCAGCCGTCCACCAAAGACTCCCGGATGAAGGCAAACAGCACGGGCAACCGGTCCCACGCATAGAAGGTCCCTGCAATCACACATCATCTTCAATGCCTAGTTTACATTTACATCAGGACTTTCAACACTTTTATTTGGTTTTGTTCTGATTCTGAAAACAAGGAAGAAGAAGCTCTTACCCTGAAGCAGGGATCCATCAGGCAGTCGGATCCGGAGCAGAGTGTAGTTGTATTTCCTTCTCTCCCTCTGCTCCTCCTTCTCCCTCATGGCTTTAGTGCGCAGCATGGCGCTCTTCTCCACCAGCTCACTCCTAGGAAACACACATGTTGTAGAGTGCAGGTTGTTCCAATGAATGATGGACAAATACCACCAGACAACAATCTGGGTGGTTGTGCATATGGCACATTTGTTATTTCCGTGGCTAGACTGAGGTAGCACATATAACGGGGATAACAACTGAAGGGTTCAGTTACTTTTTATACATTATTTATGCATTTGTTTTGAGGATGTTTGCAATCATGGTCAATTACATGTGCTCTTTTTCTGTTGTTTTGTTCTCTCAGCCATAAAACCAACCTCTATTTTATGCTTCTAGAAGATGTCCCCGTTTAATCTCCCCCCCCCCTTATGACTAGGAATCAATCTTTAACCATCCAGCTTGATGTGCAGGCAATTATGTGGTTGTTTTGCAACAGCCTGCCTTGTGAATGAATGCGTGTTGCATAATCTGATATAGTGGTAATCCGATAGGATATATTTGATATATATATATTTATGTTATATTTCCTTTACATTCCTGTCATTACTACCACAATCAGAGGAAAAATGCAGTTTGTTTTCTGGACAATTAGAGGTGTACAATATAAAATCCCCTTATTTTGAGAAAATGCCCCCAAAATCAAAACAAGATGCAATACATAATTATATGTTTGCACAGAGCTACAGGATGCATGCATTGTTTAATTGTGTTATTTTTGCTCTGGTGCAGCTATTAAACAGCTTCAGCTGATCCAGAATGCTGCTGTCAGGGTTGTTACAAGAACCAAAAGCGGATCAGAAAAACGACATAATTCATGTATAAATGTAGTTCCTATAACTTCTGCTGTTCAAACCATTCACTAGGAGTCTGTACCTCTGCAGTTGCTCCTTCTTGAGCTCCTCCGATGTCATGTTGTAGAACTCCGGCGGCAGCTCGAAGCGCTGAGCGTTGGGAGACGATCTGAACACTTGCGGCTGTCTGTCCAGCTGAGCTCTCACTGGCTCTCCTCTCTGGAGACGGTCCCTCCTCTCCTGCATCAACTCCAGGGCGTCAGTGCTGTACTCCAGTAACACCAGGAACTCCTCGTCCTCCTCTGTACTCAGGGAACGGCACAAAACAGAACATGTTATAACTGACTGGCATGACATTTACTTCTTCTGTTGACTAAGATAAGGAATTGTTAATCATGAGCATCAGGACTCACTTACCTTTCCCCTCTACAGGAAGCATAATGCTTGTGAAGCCCAGGGCCTCCAGGAATTCTCTACTGCCCTCCACAGAACGAACTTTCTCCTGAAATCAAACAAAAGGGTAAAATATATACAATATGGCAAAAAACATTAATAATGCTTATTCTCGAAGGGATGAGGTTCACCGTTTCAGACTTACCTGGTACACCTTGTTGCTGAGTTTAATCTTCCTGTATTTCTCCTCAGTGGGATTCTTACATATATTTTCAATATACCTATTGTCAAAACAATGAAGAAACAGAAAATAACAACAGCCAAGAGCAAGCATTAAAGTAAATGAAGATCTTTAACTGACAACAGACAGCAAGTCAATACTGGAATCAAGGTCAGCATGATGATCCCTTGATGTGATGTGTCTTACTTGCTCATAATGTCGATAGCAGTCTTTACTTTGTCTCTGTCTTTGTTAAATGTGTGGATCATCATAACAGAGGCCTCCACGGGATCCTCCTCAAACCGCTGACAGTGAAAACAAAGGAACACAACAATACATAGTATTATAACATTCAGCCATATTCAGATGAAATCATTGTGTAACAAACAAGCTGTAAATCAAGCAGAAACAACAAGTAGTAATATTTTTAGACGTACCATTAAAATGGCCTCTTTAATGTGTACTTCCCTCTCACTCTTAGCTAAAGTGGCTCCGGTTAGCGGACAGGTGAAATACACACCTGACACTGAGAGACAGGCGGGAGCTATCACTGGCACTTTGGATCTCTGGAAAGAAATGTTATTCACAAATATCATGAGACAAAATGCTAATCACTGTGAGAAATGAATAATGTTATTGGTGTCATTTCAGACCTTTTCAAACCTTGATGTGACAGCCAGTCCCTATAAACATACCTCCTCTGATTCTGCCTTGTCTTTTTCAGCCAGTGACGCCGCCTCCAGTTCTCTCTTGACTATAAGCAAATCGTGCAATTATATTACTTTGCTACAACCCATTGTCTTCACATTCAAATAGATCATGAACAATAGAAAACAAAATTGTTATTCTTAAAAAGGTATACTGTTTTTCATCAATACATTATAGGTCTCAGATATATACAAAACATGCCTCTGAAGTGTTTGGCTCCAAACACCAAACAGATCATTGCATTATCCCATAATCCCCTCTGTTTCAACCCTGTTTCAAAAGTGCGGATTCTCTGTCTGTTACTTTAGATGAAAATAAGGAGCCCCTCCCCACGCCCCTCGGAGAGATATTTGGTTAAAAACAACCCAATGGTGCTCTAGGAGGAGATTCAGGTGATGGGGGGGGGGGGGGGGGGGGGGGGGTTACCTTGGTTGGTTATTGGCTAATGGTTACACAAGCCAAAACAACTTTATGACATCATAAAGTGGAGAAAATCTGATCAGCTCATTTTCAGACAGGTCTTTATATAAATGGATCAGGACAAAAAGAGAGAGGGCCTTTGTTCCCGAAACTTTTAGAACCTTTTTACACAGAGGGGACACATATTTATGTATAAAAGACATGAAAAAGTGGATTTTGCATAATAGGTAACTATTTTTGAATGCATCCCAAAGAATATAAGCACGTGCATCTAACCGTTAGCTATGAACACATCCAAAGGCAAGCCGTACTTTGTTATTTTGACTGATTAAAATGACTGAAGCAGTGTTGGAATAGGGTGATTTGCCTCACCCTGGTTCCTGATGGCATCCTGCGAGGTGCCGACCTTTGGCCGGGGAATCTGTTCAATTCTAGCCAGGGCGGCGGCTCCAGCCCTCTGGGACCCTTCACTGGGACCATGGCGATTCGGCCTGGCACCAGAGCCGCTCTGCACCACATCAGGCTTGGTACTGCAGGGGACAGAAAAGCAATGTGAAGAGACATGCAGTTGTTCTACGTAGGGCTTCAAATATCCATTCCCAAATAAATGTTGCTTTGATAAATACTTCCTATAGCTGAATCAATACAAGACAGAGATCATAATATTTGATGCAAGAGCCCAGAGAAAGCAACAGTATCTAAACCTTTAGTTATTAGCCTTACATACTAAGGACCAGGTCAAAAGTCTTGGAGTTATGTTTGATTTACTTGTTTCCTGTTACAAAAGCGTATCCTTAGTCTCTGTTCTTAGTCTACCTAGGGATCTGAAGGACTGTAGTTACATCTTTAAAAACAGACATATCCTTATAGCTTGGATTTGACTTAGAGTGCCTCATTCCTTTTTTTTTAAATTCTAATGTTCTAAACACTTATCCACTCTAAGCCTTTAATTGAGTAGATGCATAACAAAAACCTAATGTGTATTACAGATTTATGACTAGAAAAATGTTACATAGTGTTAATCTGCATCTCAATTTAATCTTTAGGTTCCCAGCGTTCAGAAGTTGACCTGCTACGTCCCCCTGAGGATAGCACGACATTCCCAAAAAGAGACAGTGGGTATTTTTGATCTCTTAGGTTAAATGAATCAATAATCATAATCAATAATGTAATAAACATCATTTTTAAATAGTTCATTCTGCATGATAAGTACTGAAACTGTTTGTATTTTAGGTATATTTTGATGCTAATAGGTTTGTTATTTTACACAAGTCATGGTTTTAGTTATTATAATTTAATATTTAATACTAAATAAATCTGTAAAATAAATGTAGTGGAGTAAAAAGTACAAAATTGTCTTTCAAAATGTAGTAGAGTAGACATTTAAAGTGGTAAAAAAAAGTGCCTCAAATGTGTACTTAAGTACAGTACTTGAGTAAATGTACTTAGTTACTTTTCACTGATAATCATAATCAATCATATAATAAACATCATTTTTAAATATGATCAATAAATAAACTGTTTGTAATTTAGGTATATTTTGATGCCAATAGTTGTGTTATTTCACACCAGTAACACTTTTACTGTTACTTGAAATAGGTACTTCTACACTGTGGTATTAGATCTGAGTACTTCCTACATCACCACTGACAGGAGGACTATTTCCAGTCAGTCTGTTGGGTGTCTTAAGTGTGAGTAAAAGTCACTTTACGTTACTAAGACTATTGGCTAAATAAGATTGTTCTGGGATTAGCTCCACTGAGAATAGATGGGCGACTCCCGCTGCAGAGCTTTAACATTATATAACACATATGCTAACGGCGAATAAACATTTAGCCCAGTTACAGTAACATCTCTCATCAGTAGATTTGTTGTTAGCTTAATGACATGCTCATCAATAATGATTATTGACCAGCATGAATATGCACTAACTCAATAGTGCAGCAGATATTAGACTACAGTAGCTAAGGCTAGCTCTAGCGGTGTAGCTTCAGTACAAAGTAAGGTTTGTTATTTGCCTTGTGTCGTCAGTTAGTTTCTTCCCGGGTCCCGCCGTTTTAAACTTCATGTCTTTCTTAATGCCATCAAAAAGCTTCTTCATTTCCCTTAGTGGTCACACAAAATGTTTATCAAACAAATAGATGAACAGCTAGCAGAGGAGGATCAAAACAAACTCAGCTGATCGAGAAATACTTCCGCTTTTTCTTCTTCTTCTGTTGATCTAATGGCGGTGCAACCGTTACCTATAATGTACATACCGCCACCTACTGTACATGATGGTGTACAATAAATAATCCCCTGGACTACTTAAATGTTTTACAGCTTTCTGTGTGTTGACTGTTGAGTTTACTTTGTTATATTAACCAATAAATACCCTTAATGTTGTGTTCCACTGCTTTTGCCACTAATTCATTTCCATATTCAAACCCTTGCTCTTACTTCTGATTTAATTTTGTATGAATAAATATAATATAAGATGTCACACAAAATCAACAACGCAATGCCTTCCAGTGAACACAGTGAGGCACTGCAACATTACTTTCATTTCAATGCAGACGTGACATCATAATCAAAATCATGGTTACTTTGAGGACAGTTTTTCAGCAAAAGTACTTAAAAACGTTACACCTTTCCTAATTGACGTTTATTATCTCCGACAGGAACATAGAATGTTCCTTTTCTTTTTTGACATGAGAGTCCACAGTATGCTGGCATCAAGGATTTTTTTCTTATTGAAGGTGATGGGTTCAATTGGTTCAAGATTCAATCCCTACGGAAGAGGATTAGGGCCACATGAAAATGTGGGGGTGTGAAAAAAAAAGAAATGTCATCAGAATTCTAACCAACAACCAGAACAACATATACATTCATACATATGTTAATGTTAATAAATGTAGAAATACATTAAAGATATATCATATGTTTTCTGTTTTATTCTAAACTTATATATTTGTTTTACTTTTATTTATTTATTTCCATATTTATAAATGTTTTCTTGTTTATTTATTCTTGTATTTATCTCCAAAAATAATTATTTCTGTTTTTTTCACATTCTTTATTCTTGTATTTTTTTATTCCTGTATTTATTCTGTATTTATGCATGAATTTATTTGTTTACTTATATAATGTTCTGTCGTCCATACCTTTGTGCTTGTTGTGTGCATAAAGGTACAAATTCACTCAAAATCACATCACAGCATTCATGGACATTCATGGTTTTTAAAACACATTGGCTTTGGTCCAGAGGTCTATGCATTGGTTTTCCATGCAGGTGCTCGAGGTTCAACACCAATGGGAGGGACATGTTGTCTTCTGCTATGCTGATGTTAAATTTGGAGACATTGTCCCCACCACTTTTTCTAACAAAGTGACGCCCATGGTGATGGCACAGTAGGCCTACAAATAAAACAACCAAAACAGCTTACATGACAAACAGAAAATACAAAACAGTAAAGAAAATACATCTGAAAACAATAATGTATTGCTTTAACAAACCCCGAGGGACTTACTCCAACAACATGAATACAAACAAATAATAAAACAAAAGTTTCGGGGCGTTTACAGTCCATAGTTTCGACGAAAACTATGGACTGTAAACGCCCCGAAACTTTGAAGTGATATTTTGAGTGAATTCTTCCATCCGTTGATATGGTCCTGAACACTTAAATATTAATATTTATACATACATTGTTTACTAAATTAAATCACCAATAATATCAGAAAGTCCTTGTTTTATCACTTTTATAAACTCCATTTGAGGATTAACTCAATGGAATTTCCGACCAGCATTTGAAGCACTTGAATGCACCTTACGCCTGTGCCACGTCACTGACGTAGGAGGAGGTGGTGTCCGGGTGGGAGGCAAACTCTCCAGTACAATAAACCCCTCAAAGACTGGCATTAATGGTCTTTAAACCAAGAGGAGTACTTGTCAAGAGAGGTAAGAGTTTAATATTCCAGGCATGTTATCTTTTAAGTTTTCAATGAGCTGCGCTAACTGTTAGCTGCACAGTTAGCGGTTAGCTGCTAATATGTGTTCAGCTGTCACTGCTGACAGCAGATAGAGGATGAATGTAGTTTGCATAGAAACCACACTTTTTGTTATAAGAACACAGCTTAATGTACCGGAACAGAATTTATCTCACGTTATTTTTGTCATTTCTATTCAACCGTTAACACATTGTTTTATTTTACTTGTATTCTTATTATGCCCGTTTATATCGCATTTTTACTATCTGTGTTTCTGTCTAATTCGGTTGCTACTATACGATCTGAATTTCCCCACGGGGGTCAATAAAGGTCCTTCTTATCTTATCTTATCTCAAATAATGTTTCCATGCTAATATGAAATGTCCTATGCTCAGTGGTGTAAAGTAACTACATTTCCTCAAGTCTACCTAATTTTTAGGGGCTTGTACTTCCATAGTAGAGTATTTCCATGTTTTACCCTAACCCTTGTTACCTCTACCCCACTACAATTCAAAGGTTAACAGTGATTTTGACTTATGATTTGAAATATATTCAACACTTAAATAAGACTTCATTTACACCTGGAGTGACATTCACAAGCTACCCTGCACTATACAAAGTAATGAAAACTATCTGCAGCTTTACCAGCTTTGATAACACTTTAATGCATCAATAATTACAATCAAAACATATCATTTATGATTCTAATAAAGGACTTTTACTTGTAACAGAGTATTCCTAATCACTGGTACTTCTACTTTTACTTAAGTACACAATCTGATTACTTCTCCCACCTCTGTACATGTGAAACCTTCATAATCCTACTGAAGGTTTCTCACACCGCCTCATGGAAACATAACGTTTGAAAGTATCACGAATGCTTTGAATTAGAAATAAGGCTATACCATTCACGTGTCAAACAGCTGTGTATTTAAAACAAATATATTGCCCCATCTTGCTGTAGCCCTTATCATCCCATTAAAATGCTAAAACGTCTCCACCAGTATTAGTATGAGGAATTCCTGGTTTAGCAAGATGCTCATTGTGGGTGTGGGTTCAAAGAAACACATTCATTAATCATTGCACCATTTATTAAAATAATTGCATTGCCTACGGTTCCAGAATAAGAGGTAAATGTCATGCTGGGTGTGCATTGTGTTGTCACTGATTGTTCTGGTTTAACAAGCAGCAGTGAGGATTGTACTGAGGTCATAATAACTCATAAGTCAACAGAACAACACCTACTTTAAAACGTTTTGGCTTGCCATTGAAGAACTTTTATCTTTCCTATATTAGGACCAGTTGGTAGTTATGTGATGGAAAATACCAAATTCCTTTCATTATGACTGAATTTATTTATTTACCATACAAACTGTTTGTGTTTATTCCTAAACAAAATCCGATTTAGTCTACAAATATCAGTCTTTAAAATCCGACATCTATGATATGTGAGAAATGGTGGAATACATTTCGGCTCTTGTCTTTATAACCCTCACATTTCAAGAAATATGATTGAAGATATTCAATTGTTCTTTTATTTAATTATTAACTTCCTGATTCCAGTTTATAATCTGTTTGGGAGCCTTGGTCGAGGTGATAAGTAAAACAAAAGTTTCATATATGTAGTACATGCACTAAAGGTAGTATAAAAAGGGGCCAAAAAAACAATATATATGAAACATCCAACAATGAAAGGCTACGAGAATCAAGGAAAATAAAGTCACTCGATAAAAGCATCAAAATTATTTATTTAAAAACGTATTTTAAAGTATTTTACAAATATGTCAAGAGTCCTCAGGTTTCAGTAAGTATGCCTTGCAGCTCATTCCAGGCTTGCAGGGCGTCAAAAGGTGACGAATGATTTACTCAGCTCTGCTCCAGTGTTTGGGACAGTTAGGAGAATTGTCTCTGATCTAGCTAGACGACCCCGATATCCTAATTAGTAACCACACATTTTATTTTTAAATCTGTCTTTCAGTGTAGCAGAGTTAACCAGAAGCCCTGTTCATCATGGACCCAAACGCCAGCGGACTCGCCATGAGGTTGGCTGAAGCCGGCCAGTCTCATCTCCTGCAGTTTTGGAAGAAGCTGGGCCCCAAGGAGCAGGCCGATCTGAACCATGACCTGCAGGGGATGGACTTTAAGGAGATCAATGGATTCTTCCAGAAGGCCATGGAGACGTGCAGCAGCAGAAAACAAGAGAAGATGGACGCTCGCATGGAGCCGGTGCCCAGAGAGGTGCTGGGCAGTGTGACGAGGGACAGGGAGAGCCTCAAAGACTGGGAGCTAACAGGTGAGCTCCATTCAACTGTTCCTGCCCACAGAAAGTACATTCATACAGCTTCTGTGTATTTCTGAATGTAACACCTCTATTTGAGCAACGTACTACACGCTATAAGGAAACCAATCTCTATGGCTGCTCGGAAGTTACTATAGTGGCTTAGTCCTCTGTAAAAAAGACAATATTTAGTTTTATTGAATGTATTACAATTTAATACAGTAGGAATTAACATACGAGTAATCGCAAGACTTGCCTAGTTACTGCAGGAACAATAATCCTAGAGACACTGAGCAATTAAGTCTCGCTGTGAACCAAAATAATTGGCCCACAGGTGAGGGAGAGGGAATATTTCCTGGTGTCAGACAGCGAAGCCTTAAAGGGATTAAAACATCACATGGTAACCCAGATGTTTTGATTTCATTTATGGGACAGAGGGCGTTCTTGTAGATGACTTCCCACACAAAATCAACATTTAATAAAAACATATTAAAGGAGGCTGCGGCTCAGTGGATAGTATGATGGACTTCGAATCAGGGGATAGCAACGACATGCCCAGGGACACAACGCCCAGGGACACAACGACATGCTGACTGCAGTGGGACTCACTGCAGTCAGCATGTCGTTGTGTCCCTGGGCGAGACACTTCACCCATAATTGCTCCTGTGGGGATTGCCCACAGTACTGCATGTATGTAAGTCGCTTTGGATAAAAGCGTCTAACAAATGACATGTAATGTTTAATAGTTTCTCTAGAAATCCACATCTTCACAGCATCAACAGAACTCTTTTGCTCGCTGTGTTGTTGCAGAACATTTTCCCAGTCTCCTGCGTAGTTATGAAATAAGAGTAAGCTTGTGTTGTTCATTATAATTTGCGCAATCCCCCTTTGCAGTGGGGGTCTGACCATTTAGTGAGTCTCTTTAGTGGGGGTTTTTTTCCTGGGAGAGGATGACAATAGAGGCAAG